GATCGGCTATGGTAACGCCACACATTTTACGAAGAGATCGCATCTCCACTGCATTCAACTTGCTTTTATGCTTCTTCTGGCATACCCAGGTTTCGCTGCCATATAACAAAGTCGGTACCAACACTGCGTTATGTATTGCAAGGCGTGCACTCTTCACCACGCCTTGCCTTTTTACTAATGCATTCAGGGCACCATTGACTTTGTTTCCGGCAGCGACACGCCTATCCACATCTAAATCACATCTTCCATCCCGGCTGAAAGCACTCCCCAAGTATACAATTTCATTTACCTGTTCTAGACATTCCCGATTTACCCATATTTCACATTTCGTTCTCTCTTCGTCCTTTTCAAATACCAGAACCTTAGTTTTATTAGCATTCAAACGGAGACCTTTAATTTCACATTCCTCTTTCATACACGTGACTAATGCCTGCAGTTCTGCTTCTGATGGTGCAATAAGCACTGCATCATCAGCATACAGCAGACAATTAACTTTTATGTCACCCAATTTCACACCCAAACAGCTATTTTTCAGCTTCTGTAAACAGCTGTCGAGATACAGTATGAACAGCCAGGAAGACATGACACAACCCTGTTTTACGCCCGCTTGGACACTAAACATGGGTGAAAGGTCATGCCCTACCCGCACACAGGCTTTACAGTCATAGTAAAGTGACTGCACAGCCCTTAACAATCGACCATCCACACTATGGTGTGGAGGCTTTACAGTCATAGTAAAGTGACTGCACAGCCCTTAACAATCGACCATCCACACAGGAAGAAAATGTGGGAACTGTTGCCGGGACATATCCCGGCAACAGTTCCCACATTTTCTTCCTTATAACCTTATCAAATGCTTTCTCCAGATCCACAAAAGCACAGAAAATCCTCTGGTTAACACTCAGAAGCTTCTCCGTGAGAGAAAACATTTGATCCGTGCATCCTCTTCTAGGTCTAAATCCGCATTGTGCCTCCCATAAGAATCTTTCCGATTTCTCTTGCATCCTACATGTCAAAACCTTCGAGTGAACTTTACTTGCTAAACTGGTCAAGCTGATCGCCCGATAGCACCCGCAGTCAAAATGTGAACCTTTACCTTTATAAAAAAGCAAAATGACCGCGGATCGCCAATCATCCGGGACATCTCCCGTCCGCCAGCACAAATTGCACAGCAGATGGAAGCTGTCCCAGACGCGAGGCCCACCGTACTTGACCATTTCAGCAGTAACTCTGTCCAGTCCCGCAGCCTTACCACATTTCAAACTTCGAATCGCACGTTCAATCACTTTCATGCTGATGACCTCAGTGTCATCGAGGTCCGTGTCTGGCGTGCCAGTCACGGCGTCACCCCCGAATCCTTCACTAAGATCATGACACGCATACATTTCTCTATAAAATTCACTCCATCGCTGCATGACGTCCGATTTTTCTGAGAGGATTGGTTCTCGAAAGCACTTTGTTCATTCATAAGGCTGTCGCATCACTCCGAGACCTTCCAACCTCTTTCCAGAAGAGTTTGGAGTTTTCCCTAAAGTTGTGCGACAACCTCTCGTCCGCTTCTATTCTACACCTTTCACGTACTTCCTCAATCAATGTTTTCGCATGAACTTTCTGCAGCTTATATCTTTCTTTCATCTTCTCTCTCATATGCTCATCGTTACTAGAGACCAAGTAGTCTAACCATGCTTTTTTCTTCTTTTTTACAGCTTCTCTCACTTCATCATTCCACCATGCATCTCTTCTTTTACTACTACCTCTTTTTGTCGTACCACATACTTCTTCCGCTGCACTTACAATTCCATCCCTAAGGTTCTGCCATGTTCTCTCCACACATTCTTTCCTGCCATCGATGGTGTCAAGCTTTTCGGCTACCCTCGTGTGATATTTGTCCCTAGTATCCGCTTCCTGAAGCTTCCAGCTTCGGATGCGACAGACCGACTGTGGTTCTGTTACTGCCGTCCGGTAGCGCCAACCCGCGAATAAAACCCTAAATCTAGTAATTACTAGATAATGAACCGTTCCCAGGTCAGCACCCCTGAACACTCGTGTATCCATCACCTGTTTTCGCAGTCGGTCGTCCACCAGGAACAAATCAATCATATTTCTCTCATTCTTTCTTTCTCTAGTGTACCTATGGATTTTCCTGTGATTAAACATAGTGTTTGTCACAAGAAGACTCTTTTCTTTGCATACAGCCAGTATAAGCTTGCCAGCATCATTAACCCTTTTATCGCCAAACTTTCCAAGCACCGACTCGTATCCTGGTCGAGCGATACCTACCCATCCATTCAAATCACCACATACAACAGTTCTTTCGTTTCCCTTAACCAAATCTAGAACTTCTCTTACATTCTCCCAAAACTCTTCCAGCTCAGCCCTGGACGACGAAGCTACCGATGCATAAACAGTCAAGGAATAACTTCGTCAGTCCCATTTTGATGCGAACCCAGAGAAGTCTTGAGTTCACAACCTTGTATTCAGTCATAAGATCGACCAACCGGGACGACAACAGCACTCCCACTCCCTGGCAGGCGTTCTCGCTTTCCGGGACTCCGGACCATATAGCTAACGTCCCGCCAGGGAGCTCTTCAGTACCACTGCCTTTCCGTTTGGTCTCCGACATACACACGACATCTAATTCTCTTTCTTTGATTATTTCGATCAACTCATTCGTCTTATCTCTCATGCCCCCTCTAACATTCCACGTGCCAACTCTGCACTCCGTCCTCCACCTTCCGCCGTGTCGGGCTGTGCGTGACGGGTGGCGGTCCCCATCGCCGCTTTGCGCGCTGCATTCCACACCAACGGGAACGAACTGGTGTGCATCGCCTTGGGGGTACGCCCTAACCCTCGTTTGCATGGGTGCGCAGCTGTGTAGAATTGCAGCCCTGAAAAGGGCTGGCAGGGGTCGCGACGAGCACGCTTCTACAATGACCCCCTATTATGAATTTACAATATTTAAATTAATATTATGAATTTACAATATTTAAATTAATAAAAAAATTCGGGACCAATTACTTTTACAACTTATCACCAGGGTTGCCACAAGAGTCTAAACCAAATATCAAATAATACCTATATCTCTGTAACTACTGTCTACTATCTCTGTAACTTCCCACCTTCGAATGATTGAAGGCAACTTGTTGGTGGGTGAGACAAACATGATCGAAAAATTCACATATTCAACGTCAGTGACACAAATTCTTTCTGATGGCAAATTAATACTATTATCTTTTAACTACTGTTGTATTGGTTGGTGGAGCATATGTTTTGACTTCATGCGGATGGTAGCTGGAGGGATGATCTGAGGAGACTCTCAAGGCCGCGGCCTAAAGCCGCACAACGTGGGACCTCCTTAAACAACCGTAACGTCAACGACTATTGTTTAGTAGATAAGTATAGAGATACTATTCGTAATTATAAACCTACATCTGATGATTCACGTAATTGTCAAAGTTTTTTTGTACACTAGGACTTACGTAAATGTGAATATAGAAAATACTAAATCTTTGAAACCACCCTACGACGGTCCATACCGCGTGATAAAAAGGGTTTCAAAGTTTTACTTAATTCAATTACCCAATAGGCAGGTACATCTTTCTATTGACAGATTAACGCCTGCATATGTGTTAAAGGAATGCAATGGTAACATAGTAACGCCACGCAACAGTAACACTGATAACGCAGCGGATGTGGTGCCTGCGCATGTACAGTTCGCTTTACCGCCGCCCATGCCGGTGACGTACTCGTTGCCCGACCTGAGCAACCCGATACCCGTGAAGAAAACGCAGGGTGGTTGCATTGTTAAGCTACCTTCACAATTCAAGATAAATTACATGTTTAAATAATAATCAGGTTTAGTTACTCTGGATGTGAAAATATTATTTACATTGTTAGGTGCAGAATATTTTCATTTAGAATATTCAAGTGACATTTTTTAAGTTGAATGTAATGGTAGGTGTATTGTATTTTCTATGTACTGCAGTTTCATATAGGTTTTAAGTAGTAAGTTTTGGTCAAAATGTATTTAATTTGAAATATTTCTTTGCAAGAAGCATTAGTTTTACGGTCTAACTGGTAATTTTCAAGAAAAACCAGTTATTGTTTCTCAAGCTCAAAATACTGTAGAGAATAAAGTGGATAATTTTCAAATATGATTTTATGTGATAGCCAGTTTTATAGAAGCAATAATCTTGTATACAATTTAAAAGTAAAAAAATTAAAGTTACAGCCCATATACGTCCCACTGCTGGGCACAGGCCTCCCCTCAGTTCTGAGAGGGTTTCAGGGCAAGGAAGTGTCCGCCGCGCTGCCCCAATGCGTGTTGGCGAACTTCACATGTCTTCGAAATATTTTTTTCTTATTCCTCAGACATGCAGATTTCCTCACGATGTTTTCCTTCACTGCCGAGCACGTTTTAAATCAGCACTTAAAATTGCAATTAACAATTTCATTGGTGCCGGTGAGGATCGAACCCGGGTTACTCGCGTTCTGTTATATTTACAGCGAATATACAATTTGGGTGAAGTTTAATAATAAGTTCAAAGACTGGCTTCGCCGTCAGGTGTTCATATCCAGCGTTCCGATATCGGGTCAGAATATCTCAGATGATAGGCGCCGATAGCGTTAGTCTGTAGCACGCGCCCGCGCCAGCCGCGGCGGTCGTCTCCTTCTCGGGATTCTATACATATAGTGTCTTTATCGTACACGGACGCAAAAAAAAACTTCGTAGCAGTTATTTGAGAGCTTATTGGCATTGAATAATATTAAAAATTATTTATATGTTTAAATAAACCTCAGTTATTTGTTGAAATTTGCTGGAAACGGTATACATATTAATAGATGTATCGGACAGTATGTACTTATAGATGTTTAAGAATATTAAAATTGCCAATTATTAATAAGAAAAGTTAAATAAAATAATAACATGTTTTAATCAGGTGGTTAAATTAAATTATTACAATAAGTGTATATGAAGTTATTTCCAAAGAGGAAGAAAAATGAAAACGCAATTTGCATTAACGTCTACTTTTCTTTTAGTGTGCGGTAAATATATTTCACGTTTAATTTTGTTATAGAATAAGAACTGCCAGGGAAAATTCAAAACAGCCTAGGATGAATGCTATAGGAGACGAGAATGACTGAAATGAATAGGAGAAGTATTTTGAATGGTATAGTTTCAAGCTCAAAGAGATGAAAGGAATAGTTTGAAAGTATATTTATGAGGAGCCATTTGACTACATTTGCCGTTGTATTTGTTAGTGGAGTGTAGGTGTCGATCACATGCGACTGGTAGCTGGAGAGAGGAGACTCCCAAGGCTGCGACAGAAAGCCGCTCAATGTGGGACCTCATTCCCTTGAGGTAGGCGGTAGACTACGACATGCTCTGCGGCTAGAAGCCGTGCTGATTACGCAATTGGTGGTGATGCCTTAGGGTTACATCACGTCTGGTATGGCAGATGGTGGCGCTCACGAAGAGCTTTTTATGGCCAGTATGCCTATTATTCGACGTGTCTAAACCTTGTAATATGTCCATTCACTGTGGATGATCAAATAATGCGGAGGCTGTACACTTTGCGGTTATACGTGGTGAAAGTAACTCATTACTAACGACTCGGGTGATCCATCCTGTGGGACGTCATAACAGTGTGGACTTATTTATCTAAAGAGTTCAGTTAGGTCTGAGTCCACCTGAGTATGCCAAAGGTATACATGAGAACGGGCATGACCCAACTGTTATACGCGTGTGTCTTATTGATAGAATCAGGCGTTACTTTGCGGAAATCCATTATAATAAAAATATAAATTACTTCGCAACCTTCCGCTAGCTAAATACAGTGATGTGTTTTACCTGGATTGAAGAGCAACTCCCGACCTCCGCATGCACTAACTCCGTCACCACTAGTCCCCACTAGTAGTTGGGATTATATATTTATATATAATTTTAAATTAAAATAATAATTATTATTATTATTGTTATATAATTTAATTTGTTATGTCATGTTTACAGATATCATAAAATGTACTGAGATTGAAAATGTTATCAATGAAAACTCTGCTATATCTAGAGTACACAAAAAATCGACATCTTACATTGACCTATTGATAGATGATTTACTAGATCAAGAATGGGATGAGAGTGAAAAATCGTGCTATGATCAGACTCTAACAATTCTGACGAATGCTAGAAACTCTACGCTATGGGCCATGTGGAGTAAGTATATTTAAAAAAAAAACATTTTTCTCACGCTTTTTACATATTATATATATTATTTCTCAGTCCTTTTATTTACATACAGAGTACATAGACAAATATCCAGACAGATCAAAACTTGGGGTTTCAAACCAGAGTAGCCAAACCTACTATAATGTTATAGTATATTTTTATATTAGGCATCCAAATAATATCTTTTTTAATGTGTAGTAATATGTAGTAGGCGAGATTAATAAATTTTAATAACACGTGCGGCTGTTCATAAGTCAAGCACCAAAACTATTCCTTTAAAATACAGGCTGATGGGAGATGGGTGCAAAGCTTTCAAGGGGCGCAAGTATAGACAATTTAGAACCATTTAAGCCATGCTAGTCTTATGAACCTATGAAGTCTTAGCATTTTTTTTAAATAAGTTTTTATGATTTTAGCGAAAATGCCCAAAATTTTCTAAGTAACTATTATTTATGGCCAAATTAAACAATAAAAAAACATGGTTTTTTCTTATTTCAATTCATGTGTAAGCAGTCTAATAAGATATGTTCTAAGCACATGTATCTTAAGATATTTTTTACCGACGTTTGAAGTTTATGAAAAATCTAAAATTTATAAATACTATGTTCAACTCTCATTTAAATAAAACTAGGCCAGGTTTTTTCGTTCAAACCTCTTCAAAAACATGCTTGATTATCATTCTTTATTTTGAGGTATCATTCATGCCTTCCCTTGGCACGGTCACCTGATCTGACCCAAATCGACGTTTACGTGTAGGGCCGGGCCAAAGAACTAGTTTACACGAGCATAGAAATAAATACAAAGGAATAAATAATAGCTTGAATAAATTTTGCATTTGAAACCATGAAGGCGGAGATGAAATTTAAAATCACGACCACAGAAGTGAGAAACCGGGCCCGTGCTTGCATTAGAAATAACGGCCGTCAGTTTGGACATGAATAATAAAAGATTTCGTTTTAATAAGTTAGCCAAAAATTCAAATTTACTCCCTCAAATAGGTTTGTAAGACATAGATTCAATATTTTTAATATATCTGCATGAATGATACCTCAAAATAAAGAACGATAATCAAGCATGTTTTCAAAAAGGTTTGAACGAAAAAATCTATCTAGTTTTTTAAATGAGAGCTAAAAACAGTATTTATAAATTTTAGTTTTTTTTCGTAAACTTCAAACATTTAAAAAAATTATCTTTAGATACATGTGCTTAAAACACGTTTTATTAGATTGCTTACACATCATTTTAATAGAATAAAATAAAATACATGTTTTTTATTGTTTAATATGGCCATAAATAACAGTTAATTAGAAAATGTTGGGCATTTTCGCTAAACAACATAAAAACTTATTAAAATAAATTGTTAGACTTCATCTAAGACAAGCATGGCTTAAATGGTTCTAAATTGTCTATACTAGCTTCTCTTGAAAGCTTTGTACCCATATCCCAATCATCGGGTATAAAATATCAATTTGAAACATCATTTTCATCAACATCATAACAGCCCTTAACAATTCCACTGTTAAAAATAGATCTCTCTCAAGGACTGACACAAAACACTGCCCCAAGACACTTGCAAGCCTCTCCTGATCGGTACTCTATCTATTAAAATGTACTGTATGTTTTTTCGATATCAACTGCATTTCTACAGTTAAGAGCCTCAAAAATACTATCTATCATAAAATCAAGCAGGCATCCCTAATTCGAACCGACGGTTCTGCAACGCCGCAGCACAATGCTCAAGCATTGAGATATCAGCAGTGTCGAGTAATGGCAGTGGAAGAAAAAATAACTCCAATTTCTTCTTAAATTAACCATGGATAACGGGGCCCATTTTAGGGTTCCGTAATTAAACAACAAGGAACGCTTATAGTTTCGCCATGTCCGTCCGTCCCTGGTATTACTCAGAAACCCTATTTGCTACAAGGCTGTAATTTAGCATAGTTATAGACATTAATCACGCCTATAAATTTGTGGTTTCTAAAAATTTAATTTGGTTACCCACAGTCCCACACAGATGATTTTTTACCCATCTATTCCATCGTGAATGTCATTGGATATGTCAAAAATATTGGTGGTATGGTAACATTTTTTAGATTATTTTATTTTATTTATCGATTATAGCAGTCAAACCGCGTACACAATATGCTCATAGTTTCTAGAAGCTTTCTTCTTAATTCACGTGTTGTAACGGGCAACTACCAGGCTTAGTCACTCTTCCAAGATCTCGCATTATATACCTACCAGCTAGAGTACTCCCGGGAGTACAAGTATCAGTGTAGTGCCGCACGCTTTAAAGATATATCTAATTTAACTTTAATTTTAGTTACATAATTTAATTTTTAACGATTAAAATAAACAATTCAAATTGAAAACAAATTTTGTAAAAAAATACTAATAGTTATGAATAAAATTGTCATAATATCTGAATAATTTATTAAAATTCACGTTTCAATGACTTACCTTTTTATCAAATTATCATCTATTTTACATAATATTATTAATGTCGCCTTGAGTGTCAAGTGTCATCCAATTCTTTCGATAAAATAACCTTTAGAATGACGTAAATGACGAGTTATTTGCTATAAAATTTAAAAATTGTCATAATATTTATCATGAATGAAAAATTCTGAAGTTTCATATTATTTTTATTTTAAAATATAGTAAATGTCATATATAAACTTATAGAAGTCTCGCCAATTTATTCATTGACACAGCTAAATTAAAAATTAAAATTGAAGTGGGGAGAAAATAGAAGAAATTAAACAAAACTATATGAAATATAGTGTATTTGTTAAATAACAACTCAAACTTACCTAAAATCGAACCGAAACAACCACAAACTAACTTTAATCACTTCGTGACTAATATGCTTTAAATTTTTAAAAAATTAACCACGGGGGCCGCCCTGAAATTCACCCCCACCCCTTTTTATTATTTTAATTTAAAGTTTAAATATTTTATTCAACGGAATTACCACACATCGTACAACTTATTTTAAGTTTATATAAACTACCACTGATTCGGAAAGAACATACATCTATTGGAAAACCACAGGAAATTTGTCTTTTAAATGTCAGATTGTTTAGAAGGCATAACTTTACTAACTTAACACTAGGTACATACAACAATAAATAATAATGATGAATATACAATTGGATTTTTAAATTATATATAGTGCTCAACACTTAGCAATCTTTACAGATATTTCAAAAAAGCATAGGTACTTAGATATATGTATAGTTCTTTATACTTAAGGCCCCAGTCTTGTAAAAATTAGTGTTCTCGCAAAACTTACAGCAAAACAAATATTCTTTTATAGTATTTAAAAAAGAAAAAGTGAAACATATATAGGGTTTGATATTTTCGAAAGTGTTTTTTAATTTTATTTTGGTGTTTAAATTAATAGATCTATTAGGCGTTAAACATGCCTATGTTTAGGTTACATGCGTAAAAGGTCTTATTTAAGCCTCTGTTATGTACAAACTATAACAATGTCAAGAAAAGCATTCAGATCACATTTATTTACATATTGTCTACAATAATCTAATATGGTCACTTTTTTTATAAATGCCTTAATTTTCTTATTTGAAGGGCTTAAAAAGTTGTAATTTTATGATTTATTCTACTGCAAATATCTATTTTTTCCATTAGAAGGATAAATGTAGCAAAGTCGTACTTAACACCACATAAAATATAACTATTTTCAAGTTAATTAGAAATAAATAAAATTAAATAAATATATATATATATATATATATATATATATATATATATATATATATATATATATATATTCGTACTTTTTACCTATATTCCATTTATAAACCAGAAACGCCTGAAAATTCTCTCAGTTCCGCTGGGATTTCTCGGCGTTCAGACGTGTACAGTGTTGCTCAACGTTACTTTACCTCTCGCTCGCACGGTTGATCTCTTTCCCTCGCGCAGCTCTTATGGACTGAGCGGAGCATATCGTGAAAGTTGCTCTATTTAAATATATATTATTTTTATTTAATTCTCATATTAGTTCTAGTTTTTAGTGTATTATTGTTTATATTTGTATTAGATTAATTGACTTGGACTTTTATATTTGGATGATTTAAATTTATTACCAAAAAAATAAACGGAAAAGGATGGATAGAAAAAGAAGAAATATCAAGGATATTTCTTCTGTCTCTCGTCTGTCAGTAAAAATAGTAGTAAAAATAGTAGTAAAGTACAAAATGTACAAGGTAGAGGCGAAATTTGTATGAAGAGGCAGTTTTTATTTTCCTTTGGTTGTATATACCCTTTTTAAACCTACACCGTATAAACATTACTAAAAACGACATTTATGAAATATAAAAGGGTAAAAAATTATTCTACCACGACAAAAGTAAAAGGAATATTTTTGTAAAAAAAATTAATAAGTTATATATTTAATGAAGTAGAGAATCCTTCACGTGCGATCTCGAACGTATTTATGCACGGAGGAGAGCGCCCCCTCTAATGGCTGGGAATGTAAAACAGCGACGCTAGACGGAAGCCTTAACAGCGCCACCCATCATTTTACTTCTTTACTCCTAAATCAGATCAAATTTAAAAAATCTAAAAGTGACTTGATTAGTAAATTACCTGTAGTATTATTGGATTCAATTTTCGTTATTTTGTATTTGATAAATAAAGAGAATTGTTAATTACCGCCAAAAGTGTCTAGACTTATTAACTATTTTTGTCACTATTAGTTTTAAAATTAGATTAAAAATGCAATTTTCGTAATTTTTAAAAAGCAAAATCTTTAACACAATCGCCAACATCAAAATGTATGTCGCAAATGCACAGATCGCGGCCCGCGGGCCGCATGCGGCCCGCCGGTCGAATACTGGTGGCCCGCCGACAGCAAAAATAATACTCTCGTACATTCGAAAAATATTGAATTATATTCCAGAATAAAACCAAAAAAAATATGTTCTAAAAGTAATTTGAATCTCGCGCGCGCGCTCTTAAAAGCG